GGCCTTCTCTTTTCCCTTAATATTCCTTCTCTTGATTATTTCAACAGTTCCCATGAGTTAAACTATCTCAATTTGGACAACAACCAGGTCAATAGAGCTAGCCTCAGTCTTCCTGAGTTCAAATACTGTATCACTAAATGCTGCTGCTGCTCCAATTGAATGTTCCACAGGGGTCTCAAATGTTCAAAATTGAGCTCATTATCTTTTCCATAGTGCCCCCCTCCTCAACCTCCCTATTTCTGTCAAGGACACCATTCTTCTAGTCACTCAATTTCTCAGGCTTGAAGTTATCTTCAACTTCTCTTTCATATCTGTTGACATATAACTTGCAGCATTTATAGATTTAAGAAGTCCTCTTCCTAATTCCTATTTCCACCAATAAGTTGGGTCCTCCAAAGCAAAGCCATATCTCCCCCTCAGGGATTTAGGGGTAACCCTGAGTGGTTGGGAGTTGTCTTCCTTTAATACTATAAGCTCGAGTCTCTAGCCCAGTGTGTTCTCCCCAGTGTTAACCACCAAGTATTAGCTAATTTTATTTAACCAATTAACATTAATTAGCTTTTACAAAGGGGATATTTCCTGAAAATATAGAGCAAGAACAGAAATACAAACAGAATTCTCCCTCCACCTAACACCTAGGGGGAACACTTTACCCTGTACTATCTCCATGCCAGGGGTGAGTGAGCTAGTCTCCATATAGCATTCTTTCCCACCAAATTCACTTCTGAATGTGGCATAGTCAATGGATGAGTTGCTGTCTGTCCCTCTTGGCTGCCTTTGATCCACATCTTTGCTGAGCCAAGCAAGCCCTCAGTATTTCTATCTTCCCCAGGTTCAACTGTCTGTAAAATCTGGCATGGACTCCAGCCACCAGTCCTCAGGCAAGTCACCCTCCTGCTTTTTTTGAAGCTCATGAAGTTGCTGCCTATTCTAAGACTCTTTCACTTAAGAGCAGACAAAACCAAACTCAAAGAGGCAAAGAACAGAGGCCCATATTTAAAAACCACAAGTGGGAGTAATTACAGACTGGGGCCTTTCTCTTACAGCTCTTTGTATCCATTGTGTATTTAATTTTCTGTTTCTGCTTAATATAATGGAAACTTCTTGAAGACAGGAGATTTTAAATATTTTTTTTCTTCGTATCCCCAGTGCTTGGCACATGGGAGTAAGTTTAGTCCAACACACCTGGTTAATAGATGATTCCTTTCCACAACATCCCCAATAAGTGGTCATCCAGCCTCCTCTTGAAGTCTGGTGCCTGGGAACTCATTACCTACAAAGGCAGTCCCTTCCATTTTTAACAGCTTTAATCATTAAGAAGTTCTTCCTTACATTAAACTGAAATCTACTTTACTGTTATTTCTACCCATTGGCTGATGTTCAGTCCTCAGGATCCAAGAAGAATATGTTTAATACTACTTCCAAATGACAACTGTTCAGGTATTTGAACTTGCTGATCATGTCACTGTAACTTTCCCCTTACCCAAGCTAATATCTCCAGTTCAACTCAGCAACAAGTTGAAGTAGGTACCAGCTCCATCCCTGGGGAGAGTGAACTCAAGCTTAAAGCAGTTTCTAGATAGCATCCTATCCCACCAAGTTCACCTCTGAATGTGGCATTGTCACACCTGTGGCAAGTACAAAGTACCTGCTATATACCCCACACTGTGCTAGACACTAGAAATACAAAAGTGAAAACAAAAAAGTGCTTCCTCAAGGCCTTTACAGTCTACTGGGAACTATCTTCACCCCACTCTCTTATGGCATGGTTTTGAGCCCTTCAACATCTTGGCCTCCCTCCCCTGGACATGCTTGTCCATGCCCTATGATAACCACTAACACAATATTCAAGATCAGATCAGACCAGGGAAGACTGCAACCAGAATAACATCTGCTTTGGACATCATAATTCTGTTAGCCTCAGATCATGTTAGTTTTTTGGTTGCTGTGGCATAGTGTTGGTGCATATGGGGCTTGCAGTCTGCCAAAACATTCAAGTTTTTTCTCATGAACTGTTGTCTAACCATGTCTGTCCTTTCTGGAATTATGCAATTTATTTTAACCCAAATGCAAGACCTTGTGTTTATCTGTTAAATTACTTAATTATGGCTATTAAATATGGCCCAATCTTCCAGCCTATCAGGATCTTTTTGGATGACAGTTCTGCCATCTAATCTGGCATCAAGCTTCATGTCAGCTATCTTCCACACATCGGATAAGGGTGCCATCTGTGCTTCCATCCAAGTATTGATGGAAATGTTGAACAAAACAGGGTCAGTGACAGAGCTCTGCCAACATACCGCTAGCTGGGAGACAATACATATAAGTGTGAGACAGTTTTAAGAGCTCAACCCTATGTCATCAAAGTGCTAAGCAGTATCATATGTTGACTATGAGAACAGTAAGAATTCAGAGAAGAAAGAGATCATTGAGAACTGGAAAGATTCACAAAGGAAGCAAGGCTTGATGTGGGATCTAAGGTAAGCCTTAAAGGCAGGATCTGCCTAGGCAAAAAGGAGGGACATTCCTCATGAGAGAAACATAAGGAGTCAGTATAAGAATGAGGAAAGCATGTTAATGGATGTTAAGGAGTATGTACACTGAGAAATAAATAAAGTTATTTCATTGGGAAAAGAGTCCAAGATCATTGATTTTGATTTTCTTTTTTGTTTTCTTTTGAGACCAAGTCTTCTTCTTTTACCCAGGTAGGACTTGCAGTGACCATTCACAGACCTGATCCTCCTATCAGTTGGCACGGGAGTTTTGACAAGCTCTACTTCCAACCTGGGCTACTTGACTCCCCTTAGGCAGCCCAGTGGCCCCTTGATCACCATGTTGGTGCCAGACTTAGTGTAGAAAACAGATCAGCTTAACACACTGCAACTCATAACTCCTGAGCTAAAGAGATCCTCCAGCCTCAGTCTCCCTCAATAGCAGCCATCTAGTCTAGAGATTTTGATTTTTGTGAATATTTATTAGAATTCCATTTTTTTAAATTGAGAAAGTTATTAATGGCTCAGAACTAGTTCAAAACAAAAGTACAATTGAACGTTAGTCAGGACTAAAAGTCACACTATTTAACCTAGTGCTATAATTGTACCACTGACACTTCCAACCTCCACATTCTGAATCAATAATATATGTTTTTTGTACATATCTGTTTATCTATATACCTAAGAGTACATATTGTGATTTTTAAAATCAGCTGCTTAAAACTGCGCTAAGACATTTGGGACACCCTGTATAAAATGCTTTGTATGCCTTAATGCACAATGTACCTGTCACATAGGGACTCTTAGTTCTAGCCATCTATATTCAGGTTTGCTGTTTTATTTTATAAACTTAATAGTTGGATTTTAATAGCTAAGCTTTAGTGGCTTAAAACTGCACTAAGACATTTGGGACACCATTTCAGCCTCACAGTAGCCTCCTAAGGTAGTTATTATAACTATCATAAACTCAGTATTACAAATAAAGAAACAATGGTTTAGAGAGGTCTCATGATTTGTCCAGGTCACACAACTATTTTTGGAGCTAAGATTCAAAGGCAGGTTTTTCTTACTACAAATACAATCCTCTATCCACTATACTATGCTGACCTCCTAGAGTTGGGGCCAATAATAACGTAAGGGGCTTTCAGGAGTCCTTCACCAGCTTCTCTGATCTATATCCTCAAAACAAATAATTTTATGGGTATGTGGTATATGTAGGAATGAGAAGACCAGTATGTAGTCTAGCCTCAGAAAGCGGTACTATCTAGTAGCCATAATTTATTAGAAGGAAATAAAATCCCCTGAAGTAAACACATGGAAAAAAAAATAGATAGCCCTGAAATGAGCTTAATTTAAAAACAAAATCTGAGTGTGAAAGAGAATCTTATTTATAAAAATACAGGTAAGATTTCTACAGCTGGAGAAGGGAAAAGGAAGGTCTTTTTTTAAGAGGAAATTAAAGCATGTTCCATAGGGAAGGAACTAGAGATGGGTGACAGATTAAAGCATGTGAGAGGGATGATGGACTACTAGAGCAACATTTTAGGATGTTGACATCGTAGGATGTCAAGGGCATCGAGGGATTTGCCTTAGAGGAAAATAGTAGAATATGTCTGTGGACTAGTTTCAAAGTCTGGGAGCAGGAACAGGACCAGGAGGGGACACTTGACGTGGTGGTCCACTGGAATATATTGGATTCGTAGTCAGTCCTTGTGTGAACTTGGGCAAATCACTTGATCTTTCTGGCCCTCAGTTTTCTCATCTACAAAATGAGGAGATTGGACCAGATTAGAGGTTCTTCGCCTTTTCTGTGTCTTGGACCCCTTTGGCAACCTGGTAAAGCCTACAGATCTCTTCTCAGAATAGTATTTTAAGTGAATAAAATAAAATAAATAGATTACAAAGGAAATCAATTATTTTTAAATAAAGATGTAATGTTTTTCCCCTGCAAGTTTATGAACTCCCTGAAATCTATCCATGGACCACAGGTTAAGAATCCCTGGATCTCTGAAGTCTTTCCAGATCTCAGTCTATGATCCTACAATGATGTCTTGCTTTATTCTATTGACCCAAGTTCCTAGATTCATTTTAATTTTGCTGCCTCATATGTAACCATCAGGGTTCTGTTGGAGTTTTTAAGAATTAAGTAGTTATCCACACTGTATTATATCCAGATTAGATGAAAGAATTTTTTATTTATTGCAAAAAATAAAGCCCCTGAGGTTATTTGGAGAGTTAATCCATAAAGGTTCCCATCCTTTAATTCACTTGCTTCTTGAACCTTCTTTTAGGACTTGTGCTAACCTTAACCGGAGGAGCTTTTTAATTCCGTTAAGTTACTTTGTTCCCATAACATCAATGCTACATAATTGAGCGCTCTCTTTTTAGCATCACAATAATACCATCAATGATAAATCCAGCTGTTTAGTGTTTTGATTCCTAGTTGATCTTGCCCCGGGGGTCTCTTGTGCTAGGCCCTGTGACAGGCAGTCATCTCTTCTCTCACAGGTGGTACTGTGAAGGGAAGGAACTGGAAAACTCACCTGACGTTCAAATCACCCAGGCGGGAAACGTGCACTCATTGACCATCACTGAAGCCTTTGAGGATGACACAGGGCGTTATTCGTGTTTTGCTTCCAATATCTATGGGACAGATTCAACTTCTGCAGAAATTTATATAGAAGGTAAAAAAAATATATATATGCACAGGTTTTCAATGGGCAGTGTTAGTGAGTTTTACAATATTATTCTACTGGGGGAGGTTTATTACATTTCTTGTTTAAGATTTTTTTTTAATCCTCTAAAGTTTTAGAGAGGTTTCTCTAAAACCCTGGATTTTCTCCAGGTATTGTTCTTTAACAAATGGATAAAGAGTCTGTTTGGAAATCTTTGACCTCACCTCTTCAGAGGTTTTGTCTGGGGTGCCAGTGAATTATCAGTAAGCCAAATATCAGAGCTCCGGTAATAGTGCTGAGATTTTGCTGCTACTGTTTTTCTGGTTTTGGCAAAAGGACTACAAACACCCTTACTTTAAAAAAAAAACAATACAACAAAATAATCAACTCTACCTTATTAATAGTAAGGCTAGACAAAGGGGCACACAGCTACAGCTACAATGTTTGAAATCTACTTTAAGCCCTTTCTTTCTCAAATCTGTGACTGAGGGACTAAAATGAATTATAGACACTGGAGAATGCCATTACCTTTCAGAGCAACTTATCCTTCCTAAACAATTCTTATTACAGCCAGGGAGAGTTTTAAACTTAGAAAAACTGGAAGGTTAAAGCAATTGTTTTAAGTTTTAAGATCTTTCGGATCCCCCCTCAGACACAACACTTACTAGCTGTGTGACTCTGGGCAAGTCACTTAACCCCAATTGCCTCATCAAAAAGCAAAAAAAAAAAAAAGAGATCTTTCAGGAGGTAGGTTTTGTCAGTATAGGGAACTCCCAGTATGCTGTTCTCCCTCTCCACAAATCCATAACTCACTGGTCCTAAAGAACATCCTGAGGGCCCAAGCATTTCTCCACACAGACCCAGAATGCATCAAAGGCCAGAGTTGAAACCAGTTCTTCCTGAACCCAAAACCAGCTTGCTTTCTACTGCTGCTTGGTTAAGAAATACAGTTCTTAAATTGCTTGTAAATCAATTTAAGAAATTAGGATAAAAATCTCATGTCTCTCTTCCCTCTTTTCCAGGCGCTTCATCGTCTGACTCTGACGGGGATGTTAAAAAGGAAGATATGAATCGGTAATGCTAATTAAATTGATTTTTGAAACTTTTCATTTTGTTGACTGTAAGTTTGTTTCTTAGCTTTCATACAGTCTTTTAAAAAACTATGAATTGGTTTGCTTTTAATTTTTTTTTACTTCAAATAGAATTTAAAATCTGTGATTTGGGGGATAAGAGATTAATGCAGGTTCATAACTGTGTGGTCTCAAAAGAAAGGGTTAGGCTGTATTAGGTGAACAAACAATCAGCTGTTTCCTTTGGTTTAGTTATCAGATTAATATCAATATTTCCTCTAAGAAACAGATAGCAATATAAATATAAAACATGCAAGGGGGAACAAATGATCTTTATACTGCAACTGCTTGATGTTTTCTGATTAAAATAGTAACAAGAATGACTCAAAGTCAACAAGAAAATATTGAATTATGGTATGTGATCTTAGATAAGACATGGAACTTCTCTTGGCTTCAGTTTCCTTTCCTGAAAAAGTGAGAGGGTTAATGAAGATGATGAACAATAATAATAAAGAACACCCAAAGGTCACTTCCAGCTTGGAAATCTATAAGGCAAACATTATACTTAGTATAAAGTGTTGTTTATTCAGCTGGCACCAACTTAAGCTGAATTGTATAATGTAATGTTGATAGAGAGATGATCTTGGACACTTAACCTCATTTTCTCATCTATGAAATGCAAATTTTTTTTACCTCCTTAAATTGATAGGGTTCAATAAGATAAATCCTGAAACCTGGGCTGTTTACAAACACAAATACAACAAGTCTTTATTAAATACCACTGTGTGCAGAGCATGATGCTAATTCCTAGGGGAGATAAAATAGTGAGATAAAACATGATATCTGCTTACCCTCAAGGATCCTATAGTTCTGCTCAGAAGAAAAGTGCTCAAAAACTATAATAAATTATAACATTAATCCAAGATGATCTATTATCATCATAAAAAACCTGAATCTGGGACTTCATTGGTGTAGGGAACTACAGGTATGGAACTCTATCAATCCAAATTTGTAGCTATTCTGCAATATAAAGTCTTGGAAAATTTGCTTGGTCATGACAAGGTTAAATGACTTGCCCAAGATCTCAGGAGCTAGAATATGTCCAGGTGTTCCTGAATCCAAAACTGGCTCACTATCCATGCTGCCTGTTACAGCATTCTCTTGAAGTGCCAGGCAAAGTAATTCAATGATGATTTTGCTTTTGTTTTCTCTAAGTTTTTATCTATTATAATCGTTCTATTCACTATAGGATTTACATTCATTTGAAGCAGTGTGGGCCAGGACGTGACCTAAAAACATTGAGCTAAAAGTCAAATGCCCTGAGTTTTTAGACTGACTTCATTTCTAATTACATCATTATTAACCACTAACACTACTAGCCAGCAGTATGACTTTGGGAAAGAAAGTTAGCTTATCTAAACTTCTATTTTCTAATCTACAAAATAGAAATAATACCACTCACCCTGCCTATCTCATAGGAATGTAAGAGAGAGAAGGGAAATGCTTTTATACTAAAAAGCAATGCACAGATACTAAGACTTTATTTTAAGTTTTGTACTGAGTCACCCCAACAGAAGTCTTGCTCTGATGCCTCATTGTGACATAAGTTCCCAAAACTTATGCCAGTGGACTACCAATTGTGGAAGTTTATGCCAAGAAGAGTATGGATCTATTGGTGTATGTGGATGTGTATATTCTTAAAAAGCAAATTATGTAACAAAGCAAACATTATAGTTTCTTATGCAATCCTTCCTTTTTCTTCTTTGTATGTTGATATGTTTGTATATGATTGTTGAGTTCACACATACATATAAAAAGAAAATTTAAAAGAAAAGATTCCACCAAACCAGATTCCTGAAATAATCTTAGCAACAGACTAAAGACAAGCCCAGCTTAGTATGGAGAGGCTCACCATTTAGTGATGAACTTTTTATCTATGGCACCCCAAGAACAAAAGGAAAATACAAAATGGTGTCCTCAGTGTGATGTAGGCTGCTTATGTAATGATCATGGTAGAGTGGTAAAAGAAGGGGTTTGTTCATTTTTCAGTCATATCTGACTTTTCATGACCCCATTTGGGGTTTTCTTGACAAAGATACTGGAGTGGTTTGCTAATTCCTTCTCCAGATCATTTTACAAATGAGCAAACTGAGGCAAACAGGATAAAGTGACTTGCCAAGGGTGATATAGCTAGTAAGTGTCGGCAGCCAGATTTGAACTCAGGTCTGTCTGACTCCAACCTGGTACTCTATCCATTACGCCACCTAGCTACCCTGAAAGAGGGGGTAGATGATGCTAAAACAAAACAAAACCATAGTAATCTGTGCTCTAAATACGAGATCCTTGTCCGATGACCAGTGAGTTGATCTATTACTAGAGGAACTGAACTATTTGCAGTATAATGGGTAGAAAGCTGGCCATGAAACCAGGAAGAGCTAGGTACAAAGCCCACCTCTGACACATATGGGACCCCAGGCAAGGCATTAAATTTCTCAGTGCTCTGGGCAGCTGATTCTCTACATCATCGTGGAGAAGGTGTCAGCCTGCAATGGTAGAGGGAATTTCCTAAACTAAAGAGTTTTCTATAGCAATGAAATACAGGTCCAGTCACAATCTTAACTACAAGTGAAACTAAAAATTATAAGAAAGATGACCCAAAGTTCTTTTCAAAGAAACAAATAATTGCCTGTTTATTTTATTGTGGGCCTAAGAAATATAATTACAATTCACCTTGAGCTGCTCGTGATTAGCTAAATATCACCCAAAAACTCAAGTTAGCTATATCCTATTGAGCAGGAAATGACTGGTTAATTATGGGGAAGTCATTTCTAAACCAGTTGTTTGTGTTTAGTTAAACCATTGATTGGTTAGAGTAAAAGCCAAAATCAAAAACAAATTAAAAGAAAGCATAAAGATTGAGAAGAACATAGTGTATGCAGCTACAACAGATTCAACCTGCTGTATTCATTCTGTCTATAAGTACAGAAAAAGAGAAATGTATAAAGGAAAAGACTGATTCTGAATTGCCATTCCCAGGAGATGTCTACCCAGTATAAAGCAATGGCCACAACAAGGAGGCCAAAAACCACCCTAGCCAGCAAATTCTTGATCCTTTTGACAAGCAGAGAGCTATAGCAGCCTGGGACAATGCTGACTTAGGTTATAAACTCCTTTTTAAAACACTGCAGAGGAAAATTTAATTCGACAAAGATAAGTTAAGCTCCTACTATGTATAAGGTACTTAATGCTTGGTGCTGGAGATACAAAGCTAAAAATTAAACAATTCCTGCCTGCAAGAAACTTACATTCTACTGGTGAGAGATGCAGGGAATCAAACATCTATACAAATAAGTATAAGGAAAATTGAGACTAAGAATGCATTAGCAACTGGAGATATCAGGAAAGGCTTCAAGGAGGAGGAGGTACCTGAGCTGAGCCTTGAAGGGAGCTAGGGATTCTAACATTCAGAGGTAAGGAGGAACTCCAGGCATGGGAGACAGCTCATTTAAAGGCACAGAGTTGTGAAAGACAGAATATTGAGTTCAAGGAACCACTGGTGGTCCAGTTTGACAAGAATATGGAGTGCTGCAAAGGAAGTGATGGGAAATAAGGCTGGAAAGGAAGGCTGGAGCCAGTTTCTAGAGGGCCTTAAATACCAAGCTGAAGAGTTTGTGTTTTAACCTGTGGACAGTAGAGAACCCCTGAAGGGTTTTGACAAGGGGAGTGGCGTAGTCTGTGTGTCTTAGGGTTTAAAAAGACAGTACGGATTAGAAGATCAGGCAATTCTGTGGAAAGGGAATGGGTGAGGGGAACTTCTGGAAGCAGAGATGCCAATGAGAGCTTCTTCGTAAGGGCTCAGAAAGGAGGTGATAGAGGTCTGAAGTAGGGTGATGACTGTCTGCATGGGAAATAAAGGGACAGATACAAGAGATGTGGTCAAGGGAGAAAGAGCAAACTTGGCAATTGAATGGATGGAGGTGCAGTGAGGGGAGGGAAGGGGAAGGGACTTGGAAGAAAGAAAAACTGTGATCGGAAGTGACTGAAGGATGGTGGCGACCTCGACAGAAATAAGGAAGTTAGAAGAAAGAAAAATAATGAGGCAAGGCTGTACAGGTTTTCTTGAAAAATACAACCCAGCTAGGTAGCGCATAGAGCACCAGCCCTGGAGTCTGGAGGGCCTGAGTTCAAATCCAGCCTCAGACACTTACTAGCTGTGTGACCCTGGGCAAGTCATTTAACCCCATTGCCTCGCCAAAAAAATACAACCCCAGAGGTAAACTCTGTTCAAAGATCCTGTTTATATGTATCAAATGAGGGATAAAATAAGCATACTTGCCAAAGGTATTTGCCACTTTCCTAGACGATGTGATGGAAAGAGGAATTGTCTGTAAATGCTGAGGTGCTCTAGATGTTCTAGTGTGTGGGTGACAGTATATCAATTGCATCAAACTGCAGAATCCTCTAGGGCCTCCTCTTGGAGACCTGTGACTCCTCTGTAGCCCTCTGCTGCTGCCCTGGAGGAATACCACCCTGCTCCTTTGTGAATCAATGCAAATAAAAAATACATATAATTTTAAAACATCAAATCCATTGTGTTCAAATGTAGCCTATTGTTACATGCTTGAGAGAATCTTTGAGAGATTTTATCTTCATTGAGTAATGGGCAAACGTGGTAAGACTACACTGTTTTAAATATTTCACAGGGTCCAGAAGCCAGAAGAGGTGTCATCACCTCCTACTAATTCTGCAGTCCCCCTGAAGGAAGGAGCAGAAGCACAGCCTAGAGTGGTCCGGCCTCATCTATCTATTATTCAGCAGGTATGAGAATCCAGGCATAACAGGCAAATGAATCCATTCCCAATACTTTATTGTCTCATGCCACAGTTTAAAAGGCAGAGAGTACACATATGATGTCACACTGGGCCTAGAAGTGGGCATCACCCCATGAGACTTGATTTTCTATTTATTAGAGCCTATGATGATTCTTCTGTCTCAGAGAGCACAGCTATGGTGGTAGTCCTCACAGAATACCGATTTCTTCTGGCAGGTCCTGGTTGCTCTGGTGTTGTAACATTCTTTTCTGTGATAGCTGCTCATTTCTATTCGTTGTTAGTCCTAAGGGATGAAATTTTTTTCTAGTCCATTAGAATACTTCTGTAGCAAGTTGGGAAATTATAGATAAAAATAATTAAATAATTTACATCAAATTAACAAAATTAATTACTGGATATTAAATTAACAAAATATGAGAAATTTCTCACCAAATTTATAAAAAATTAAGATGGCTCTTCACTTGATCACTTAAAAAAAAAACTGTGGCTTTTCATCCATTAGTACCCATTTTACCATCTTTTAATAACTGTGTAGATTTCTGGAAAAAAAAAGGATTGACTATAAGTCCAAAGTAGTCTGTATGGTACCCAGGCTTAGGGTTGCCCCGTCCATTCCTCTTGGGAAGAGCAGTTCCCCTCATGAAGTGGTTTAGAGGCCAGATCTGCACGGAAGGATTGCATTATCTCAGTGGCTGAGGCATTTATCACTGTTCCTTTTTCTTTTAATTTTCAGTGTCAGAGCCCCACAAACTACTTACAAGGACTGGATGGAAAGCCTATAATAGCAGCTCCTGTGTTCACAAAGGTAATTGAAACTTAATCTCCCTCTGATGTGACTTAAAGAAATCACAATAACTGTACCGACTCAGAAAATAAAAGTTGTTGCGTTTTCTTTAATGTTACCTCAGGATATGAATTCACCAGGAAAAATTTCTGGCTGTAGTAATAATTACAACCCCAACTTTCCAATAATGGCTTCCACGTCAGTAAGCAAGTCCTTCCACACTCACAATATTCTTTTTGGTTTTAAATTGTCCCCAGGAGTTTTCAACACACCTTTACTGGCTTCAGTTTCCATTTCAAATGAATGTTCATCCCTGATGAGAGCAGGTCCCTTTGGATGTCATTAGTCTGCTCTAGTCTGCACTTTGGTTTTCACCCTTAGTATTTCTGCAGTTTGAAGTTGGTAGTTGGGTCCCAAGGTCATGCCCAGAAAGGCACAAGTAACAGTCCATGTATATCACACGAAGCACTTCTCTCCATCACTGAGCCATAAGGTAAGGCTCATCATCACTGGGCTGCCCTCCACTGATGAGGTTTTTTCTGCCACTGCAACTCATCCAGCTACCTAGGAAAGACTGCCAGGCACAGAAATGAGAGCACAGGGTTTAGAGCCAAGAAAGCTGAGTTCGAATTCTGCCTCAGAAACTTACTAGCTGTGAGGCTAGAGGCAAGTCACCTACCTTGTCAGGTTCTTCACCTGAGAAAATCACCACAAGCTATAATGAGCTGTACAAAAATGAACCATCATTGCCGTCATCGTCATCATCATCTACAGTCTGGGCAGGTGGTGATCTGGGTCAGTGGAAGAGATACCTGTGCAGGTGAAATCACAGTTCCTTAAAGTCCTGAACAGTGATTCACACAGCGGTCCTGGGGGCTAGCCCCCCAGGAGGGAGCTGGCTTTGATCCCTCATCTTCTAGCAACTTGCTTTCGTACTTGAGCGATCAAGACCCTGTATATGTGCTTCCTTGTTTAGGTGATTTTTCCTCAAGAAAAAAATCATAAGCAAGGCTTTTCAGAGCTCTGATTTTAAAAGTAGCTCTTGGCAGAGCCAAACTGTGTAGACTCTTCCTCTGCCACAGGCTTTCAACTCCATAAATGGAGCACACACTCCTCTCGCGTGTTCAGGGTACTAGTAAGCATTGGCCCCATGCCCCAGGGATTCAGCAGCAGCCGCACACTTGCGTTAGTCTCTGTCAGGGAGGGCACAGCTGAGGTCAGTCACTGCCAGTGTCATTAGCCACACATTTCTCTGAGTCAGAGTCACTGATGACAGTGCTCATGTGTCTGTGGGCCATGACAACAAACCCTTTTATGCACTTTGATTTAGGCTATTCCTGTTCTGTTTCCTCACCTTTGGGCGTCAACCTAACGCCTCTGCCTCACTACCTATTCTATCCTATAATAATGGGGTCTTTTTCATTGATGCCAAGAAATCATCATTTGTATTTTTATAGCATGCATGTTGATCTGTGGAGCACAGTTCTGTTTTTAAGCACCATATCATTGATCCTTAGACTTTCTTTGGGGTTAATGGGAACTCCTTTTATCATCATTTTAGAGTTAGGGGAAAATGAAGGTGCACAGAGAGATAAATGAGTTGCCTAAAGCTCCCCAACAAATGGGTGGTAGAGTTTATGACTGGATCATGGAGGTACTTCATCTTAGTTCAGGCCTGGACCAATAGGAACCATCTTTTGCAAGACTTTTTATGTGACTTTAGATAGGGAGAGGCCTCACTAATAAAATATTTCCCTACAAGTCCGAACAGTACAGTATGAAGTATTTTTGTAGGGAAAAAAAGAGCACTACCACTTGATGAGTGGGAGAGGCTGCTGACCCCCTCCCCACTCCCACGCCCACAGCAGCTGCCGCTGTGGTTCCTGCTCCAAGGCTGCAGAAGCCCTGGCTCCAGCAGTTTCAGCAGTAATTTGAAAAGGGCAGCGGTAGAACGGGTGGGGGAAGGGAGAGGTAGAAGAGCAGATCTGTTATATAACAGCAGAGACAGGAAAACCTGGAACAACCGTGCTAGGGGTCTGATCCGGAGTTCTAATGACTGCATGGACAAACTCAGACCACTCTTTTTTTCGAATTATTTTCTAACCCAGCATATGCACCAATCTGTGGTGGAATTAAAGCTAATGGATTCCTAGCTTTGTGTAGTTATTATGCCCCCTGCCTTCCTCGCAGGGATGTCACAAATATGACAGAGGTACCAACAGAATATTTTAAGTTTTATAGAAGAAGGCCTGTAGCTGAACCTAGAACATTAGCAGAGCAAGAAAAGGCACTGGCTTTGCTCATTCTACCCTTTCCCTTCTTCATCCTCCTCCCCTATCCCATTTCATAGATGAGAAAACTGAAGCTCAGAGAAATTACATGAAGAGGCAGCGAAATTCTATAAAGAGCTCAGTAAGACCCTCCAGATTAAATCAACACATTTTAATAATCAATGATTTCAGTGCAAAGATGAAAATGGGGGTGGGTGAGGGGAAATTGAAACATGTTAGAAAATATGGTCCAGGATTAAAGTAGCATATCAGTGTAATGAACACTGTTTATGAAACCAGAGCACCTAGATTCAGATCCTGACACTATCACTGCTTGGGTGACCTTTGGCAAATCTCTTAATTTCTTCATCCGTAAAATTACGGAGTTGTATTAGATGATAGCAAGGTCCTCTCCCTTCTAAATTGATGATCCCTTGATCCTAAGAAACAAAAGAGAAAAGAAAACAAAAGAAGCCTATTGACAATATGTCAAATATATTTTTCCTCATGAAGAAGCCAGTGAAGTACTTATTATACATGGTGAGCATAAGAACGTCACAGATAATGAAGCTGATTGTATCAATATCAGATTATTACCATTTTCTAAGTAAATTTAACTGTTAAAATCACTTGTCACCAGGAGATCAAAATTTTAGAAATTGCCTTAATCTAAGAAACATGATCTTCTTGCCAAAAAAGAGGTACAGCAGGCAAGAACAATCTTGATCTAGAATGTAAACTCATTTGTAAAATTCTGAGGAAAAGTATGATGGAAGAGTATGAGCAAGATAAGCTCTTAAAGCAGCAAGAAGTAGAAGGGAAAACAGGGCTATAGAAAAATTTGGTAAAACACCCAGACTAGGGGCAGCTAGGTGGCACAGTGAGTAGAGCACTGGCTCTGGAGTCAAGAGGACCTGAGTTCAAATCCAGCCTCAGACACTTGAAACTTACTAGCTGTGTGACCCTGGGCAGGTCACTTAACCCCAATTGCCTAGCAAAACAAAACAAAAAATAAAATAAAATAAAAGACCCAGACTGTCCCAATAGCGCCAGATTATCATAAGAGCATCTAAGGCTAAAACTTCACAGAGGAGAACAAACAACCTAAAAAATTGGAAAAGATCTGTCAAAATTACTTAAACCAATGATTCCCTCCATCAGTGACAGTAAAATTACCACATTTGAACTCTAATGTCACAGTCCCTGATGTACTTAATGAGAAAGTAGAACTTTCATGCATGAAAGGAAACAAAGTTGGAGAAAAAACTGGATTAGCCCAAATACACCCAGAGGAGAGGGTTGGGGAATTAAATTTCAAGGACATTGAGGGAGAAATTGATTTTCAGGATATCTAAAAAAAAAAAAGGTATATGATCTCACAGAATACTTGAGAATGACTTCTTCCCCATCTCTACATAATTTTCATGACAATAATCTGCATATATGTCAAAAGCTTCCTTAATAAAAGATGTAAGAAGGAGACAAGGGCAATTTCATAACTGATACTCTACATCAGACCACATATTTACAATTGTATGGCTGCCTGAAAGGTGCAGAGAATACAAGATCCCACCATTGCTGACTGTAAAAAATGTTTTTGATTTGGTAGAGCAAATGCTGCCTTTGAGCCCCTCCTTCAGTATGCTGTCGCTTTGTATTTGGCAGTATGGTGCGGTGAATAGAGTTCTGGCTTTGGAGTCAGAGTTCTTGGGTTCAAATGTTGGCTGTTGCTTATCTGCTTACATGACCCTGTTCAAGTCACATCACCACTCTGGGCCTCAGTTTCCTCATCTGTAAAAAGAAAGGGCTGGGCTAGGTTGCCTCTAAGTACCCTTCTGGCTCTAAATTTATCATCTTAGAATTTGTTAAAGTCATACAAGATTTCTTCAAAGTTACAACAGCAAAGATTATTTTCTCTTATACAGGGAACAGGGAAAGGTATACTGACTCCAGGTGTTTGCCAGTGTCTTTGAGGCTAGTTAGCAGAGTCCAAATGGAAAAGAAATTCCCTAAAGAAGATAAGTTTCTCCAGATGCTCTTGTTTACAGGTGACACTGTGCAGGTAACATCAATCCCCAGAATGCTGAAAAACCTGCTAAATAAGATACATAATCACCCCCAAAAGGTTCATCTTGTCTTTTCCCACAGAAAATGAACAAATAAACAAATGGATGAAGGAAGTCTATTGTTAAGATGCATAATTGAATAGACAGCCCAAATAGCTGGTACCTGAGTACAGACATCTTGTATAAACACTGTACATGAACAGTGAACTGGGCACAGAACTGAACTCACCAGCTCTGTGGGTTCAGTTATCATCTCTGTGCACTAGCCCCACTGTCTCTGGAATTCTGGTCCCACGTGACCAAATGTTTCCTATGTATTACTATACAATAGAGGCAGCTAGATAATACATTGGATAGAGTACTGGGCTTGGAGTCGGGAAGACCTGAGTTCAAGTCTAGCCTTAGACACTTATTTTTTGTCACTTAACCTCTGTCTACCTCAGTTTCCTGTTCTGTAAAATGAGAATAATAACAGCACCTACTTTGCAAACCTTAAGTGCTCTATAAACGTTAACTATACATCTCTACCTGGAGATTTCATTGCCACCTCGAACTTATCATGCTCAAAATAGAATTCATTATCTCTATGCCCCACCAAAAGCTCCTCTATCTCTAAACTTGTGTATTTCTTTTGAGGGTGCCACCATGATTCCAGAAACTCGGATTTGTAATTTCAGAGTCCTCCTCAACTCTTCTGTCTTCATCCTCCATATCTAATAAGTTTTCAGGTCTTTTCTCTTTTTGACCTCCAGTACATCTCTTGCCTCTATCACCTTCTTTCCACCCACATAACCACTAATGGGGTTCAGGCCCTGGTTCTCCTTTACCTGAATTATTGCAATCATCCTCTCGCCTGTCTCCTTGCTTTCACTCATTTCCCTTTCTAGCCCCCTTCCACAGAGCTGACAAAAACCAAATCTTCCTAGAGAGCTGATCTGGCTGGGTCTCTCTCTGTCAAGAAGAAATCTGTTGTCATTAAAAGTACTGAAGATTTTCCCAAATGCCATCAAACCCTAATTCAATTCCCTTTCCTTCTATTCCATAAGCATTTGTTAAGCCCCTATTCAAAGTCTATGATGTCAAGGAGTTTCCATTTATGCAACAGAACCTTATATATGCTCATTGCTTTAAAGTGAATTTTATGGTTATGTCTCACAACTTTATGATTACAAAGTGCTAATATATATTATGTGTCATTCAAATATCACAGCAAATCTATGAGCAATATAGGTCAAATGATATTATCCCCACTAGAAAGATGAGGAAAAATACCGATGATAAAGCCTGAAAGATGCAATCATTTGTTTCATCCACAAAGCTATACCTTTGATGGAAACCAGAATATTTTACATATTACATCCTCTATACAAATTATACTTGTTGATACTCATTATGGTATTTTGCAGTTCTGAGAAGCCAAATCCCATATGTGACCTTGACAATAGAGGTACTTATTATGAATCAGAGTAAGTGAAAAACTGCAAAGTGTTCTACATGATATCATGATATCATTATCACATTAAAAAAAAAAGCATGTATCAGCTAAGGGAAAAGAAATACAGTAACCTAAATGACTGCCTTTAAAACACTCTCGAGAGACCTTTCAGAATTAAACATAAAAGTCTTCACATATGTGAAGACTTAGAAAAAGATCAGACATTGGGAGAAATAATATCTTCTAGAAGTTGGCACTAGATTGCAGAAAATACAACAATTCTTTATTTTTATAATATACTTTCCCATTACAGATGCTGCAAGATTTATCAGCCTCTGAGGGTCAACTAGTTGTTTTTGAATGCAGAGTTAAAGGAGCACCATCCCCCAAAGTGGAGTGGTACAGAGAGGGGACATTGATAGAGGATTCTCCAGATTTTCGAATTTTACAGAAAAGTAAGTTGATTTTATTTAGTGCATTTCATTTGTTGGATTTTAGATGTTGGATTTAGATTCATTCATTGGATTTTAATTCACGCCAGTTTGGGACATATAAAAGTGTTGAAATGCATTTAGACCTTTGTTTCTGCATGTCAAAAAATATTTATACTTTACAAAATCTTTACAATTCAGTTGCCATTAATTGTTCTTCCAAGGTTGTCGTCGTCGTCTTCTTCTTCTTCTTCTTCTTCTTCTTCTTCTTCTTCTTCTTCTTC